AGGAATGCTCCAATTATAGGGGCATAACGTTATTGAGCCTCCCAGGTGAAGTCTACGCAAAGGTGTTAGATAGAAGTTGCTGCGAAATGAATGACCTCAAGATACAGGAAGATCTGTGTGGCTTCTTGCCCGGTCGAAGCACTTCTGACCATATATCTACCCTTCGCCAGATTGTTGAGAAATCGTGGGAGTACGCCCGTCTGGTGTAAATGTGTTATGTTGACTAAGAAAAGCCTATGGCCGGATCCCACGCAACAGACTGTGGTCATGCCTTCGAACATATCAGATAGATGGCCTGCTGCTAAGTGCCATCCAATCACTCTACTCTGCTAGCAGGTGCTGAGTCAGAGTAAATGGCATTAAGTCGAAAAATTTCAACGGTGACACTGCTCTCCGCTAAGACTGCGGCGTACTCTCTCTCCTGTTTGTGTTGTTCATGGACGGAATAGTCAAGAGCTGCGAAGGCGATGAATCTGTCGGTGTAGAAAATGGGAAGACGAGAAGGTTGCTATTTGCAGACGACCTCTTTTCAGATTAACGGAGAGGCAGTTGAGGAGATGAGAAGTTCAAGTACCTCAGAATTGTATTTACTAGTGATGGAAAATTGGTGGAAGAGATCGACCGGCGAATTGGAGTAGCCGTTCTGCGTGATCTAGCCCGACCGATTGTGAATAAAGCAGAGCTCAGGCTGAAAACTGTGCTCTCAGTTTTCAAGTCGATCTTTATCCCCATGCTTACCTAAGGTCATTAGTCGTGGACCATCATTGAAAAACTTCGAACCCGGGTACAAGCTGCTGAAATGGACTTTCTTAGACGAGTCGCTGGACTTACGCGTCTCGACATGGTCCGGAACAGTGACATCCGGAAGAGCCTTGGAATACAGCCGTTGCTTCTCCAGATTGAAAAGTCACAGCTGCAATGGCTTGTGCATGTGTTGCGAATGCCTCCAGAGAGGAAGGATAAGCAAGTTCATTGCAAATCCGACGTGCAGAAGGTCCAGGGGACGGTAAAAATTAACCTGATGCAAATATGTGGAAAAAGTCTGTTTCAGACTCCAGCTGTCGTCTGCCGAAGCTCAGACTCTGGCACAAGATCGGGAACGTTCTAAACTTTGTCTGACGGGTCTCCTTCTCCGATCCAGAATTAGAAGCAGGCGTGGAAGA